CAAATCTATTGTTAAGTATGGTTGAGCTCCAACCCTGTCTCTTATACACATCTACCCATTCTTTCACAAATGTTTGTAAAAACAGTCTGCATGCCTAGGTGCTTGAATTTATACACCTGTGGCCATGGAAGTGATTGGAACACCTGATTCCAATAATTTGGATGGGTGAGCAAATACTTTTGGCAATATAGTGTAGCAAATATGGCACCATCAGACATCTGTTCATTTAATTCAAAGATGAACCTGATTGATGAATCTAATGAAACTCTACATATAGTTTTTTTTTTCACTCAGAAAATTTGAAAAAAAAAAACCTGTTAGAAGCCTACAAAGCCATGGGCATCAAAATCTGGGCTTTCTCAAATTGTTTGAGGTTGAATTGCTGCTTCCTAAAAATAAAGCAGAAATCATTTTAGACTTCGTAACAGACAACATACAAGAACAGTTGCCTGCTGATGCATGAAAAAAAAGGTTTTCTGTTCATTAATTTCAGGATGGTGAGATCAATAAAACTGATTTGAAGCTATAAAACTTCAATAAATGATATATCAGGATGCTGAGTTTATTCAATACACTTCATGACTATATTTGCAAATATTTTGTATATAATGTATACATTGTGATTAAAGGTAATTAAAGTCTACAGCTTTTCTTCTGATGTTAAATGTAAATTACTTTCCCTATTCATAAGAAAAAGTTTGGCCATATTACACCATGTGTCATTAAAACCCAGACTATCATCAGAAAGCGGGAAAATCACATTTCCAGGCAGCTCCATTGGACAAAATATTATCTACTGTGAATGTATCCCCACGTCCCTTTGCATGATGTTCCATCTTTCAGTGAAATCACCTACAGGTCATCAGACTCAGGCACACTGAAAGACTCCAGGGTTATAGTGGGTAGGATGAGATGAGTGCCTTCTGATATCCAACCCTGGGCCGTCCTGTTGAACGTAGGCCGCTTTGCTCTCGGATCGCAGAGCTCCTGGTACTGTGGTGGGTTCAGGTCCACCTCAGGGAGCTTGAATGTGATTCCTCTTGGAGCCTTTTCAAAACCACCATAAGGAGTGGCAACCCTGCATTTCAGATCAACATAGAGATTACCCAATTTTCCATTACATTTCATTCAATCACTTAGGTTTATGCAGGATACGGTGGTCTCACCGGTTGAAGCATTTGTATTCAGGGAGATCCTGCTTTGGCTCTGGCTCTGGCATTCTGAGCTGGAGCGTATCGGCGAGGTTAGGGTCGCTCAGGATGACCTGCTCCCATGGTGAGTGGTACGTTTTGTGCCCAGGCGTGGTGTCCAGCTTTTCTGTGACCATGTCTGCAAAGCAAGAGATCCTACCATGACAAATGCTTTGATATTGCCACAGGCTGATCTGTTCGCTTGGCTATCAGGGCCTTTTGTCTTGTTTTTTTCAAAGCTGTTTTCTGCAGCCTGAAAATTTCAAAGTGGATGAGATTAAAATAGCTACAGTTAGAACTTAAAATAGCACATTTCAAGTGTGTGCTCATTGTATAATGAGTATGGGCCTTAGTGAAGCATCAAAAAATGACTGTAGGGCTTTTAAGTCGGTACTTATAGTTAGCCTTCTCTGTTCAAATGATAAATCTTGATTATATACAACCAACGTAGATCTAAATGCAAACATAAATCTGAAATAGCCTTATTAAATATAACAGGCTTAATAAAAAGCAGAGTTACCTGAGGTTGAATTTGCAGAGCCATCATGTGCTGGCGGATCCACTTTAATCTCCACAGAGTGTGTGTTCTGGTTCAGAATATTATTCTGCTAAATAAAATAAGGGGAGCATTGATAGGGTGTTGGACCATACATTAAAAAAGTACATTGCTATTAATACGCTTAGATTAAATTAAATTAAATTTCCAGTTACAGTTTCACAGCATGCACTGATAGAAATGGGAGCAGATCTGCAAAGAAAACCCTGAACAGCCTCAAAGATGACCCTCCTGCAGGATGTTGCAGCAATTGTTTACATTTTCCACTGTTTTTATCTCAACGAGCATAATTCAGTTTTACGGATCTATTCCAGCCATTTAAGTAAATAAAGGAACTCACAACACAGATAGGGTGACTTACATTCAGCAGTGCGTTTGCCTCGTTTTGAATGCTTTCAAATGTATACTTCTCAGACCTCCTCTGGCGCATTTTGAAAAGCCGGGACCCTCTGTTGGAGAGGAGCGACAGCTCCTCCAGCATGATGTCTTTGGGAGTGCTGAGTTTTTTTCCCAGGTCCATGACAGCGTCTCCTGAGATCCAGAAGTATTTATTTAATGATGTGTTTGATATTCTTATTTAAACAAAATAAAGAGAAACAGATTATGAAGTCTAACACTGGAAGTTACCCAAAGCAAAAAGGAAAGGAAATAATCGTCAGTTAAAAATATCTCCAGGGGTTCCAGATACCAGCTCAGCAAAGACTTAAGGAATAAAATGTTATACATGTAAAATGTGAGTGGCAAAAAAAAGTGAGCTATATTGATTGGTTAATAAAAACATTAATAAGGTTGGACCTTTTCAATCAATAAAATAATAGTTTTTTGTTAGAAAATTGCTTGAATAGAAGATAGAAGAACTCATTCGAAAAATTACTTAGATGAGGTACAACATAGTAAAAGCGGTACTGAAGTACTGAGCAACAGTTTGATCATAATGTCTGATATACTTCTGATCACTAATATAAACCTATAAAATGCTGTCTAAATAATAAAATAAGAATAACTAACATCTTTATGGCATAGAGCTTGGAATCCTGAGGTTGTGAGTTCGAAATCCACTGCCACTCTCAGCCTCTGAGCAAGACTGTTAACTCCTGATTGCTCCCCGGGCGCCACACAATGGCAGCACACTGCTCCTGAAGGGGATGGGTTAAATGCAGGGATAAATGTGTGCAATGTGAGATCAATAAAGTTTAATTATTTTCTTATATTTATGTAATTAAGATTATGGTGCAAAGGACTTGACTTAACATCCATGAGAAATGTCCCTATACTGGGACATGAAAAATGGCAGCGTAAGTTTAGGGAAGTACTTCTCTTTTTAACAGGGTTAGGAAAGCTGGTCTGAGTTGACGTGGAAGTGGGTGGAGTTATATGAAGGGCAATGTAGGAAGAAACCTATTAAAGGAAAAGTTTGGTCAGCAAGGAATAATCAATGGATCATTATCTATACCTAAAAATAACACGTTAACGGTGATTTAATAGA